AATAGCGTCCTCAAAGCAAAGTAAAAACAATATTAAATTCCTAAACAGAACAAAACCACAGGTACATCTATTTAAATTAAAATATAATCTTAAAATTTCATTTATTCTGATAATCTATATAAAACAAATTGAGGTGCAACTATTCATAGCACGGCTTCTTAGCCATGATACATAAAGGTCATAAGCAATAAATGGTTGAAGCACATAATTCTAAACTACAACAACGATCCTCTGGTGTAATTGTTCTAATTGTACACAACTCACCAACAAGTACATCAAAAATGTTATCTTATGAGGTATAGAGGACAATCGTTTTTTTCTGGGTGGATCATCTAAGTAAGCAGTCCTCCTAATTGTTAATCATTCAGGTGATATGTTCACGTAAGGCCGTCCTACGTGCTCGTACTGTTAGCTGTCTTTTTTTTGGCCGATTTCAGGCGTATATCTGTAGTGAGCTACAATTTAACTGAAGCTCACTTTTCTCACCACAGTTCTTTAAAAATGGCCAAGGGTCGTAAGAGAAAAAGTGTCTGCAAAGTTTGTGAGAAGAAAAGAAAGGCCTAAGAAGAGGCAGATACATCGCAGAATGTTTTTCGCAGAAGGCTCTCTTGCAAAGCATTATGGGATTTGCTGTCACAGCAGCCCGCTGTCACCATTGGCAGTTGCTACTCAACAGTGGCGACTAATGAAGATGGCGCAGGCACCGCGCAGTGGACCAATGGGGAAGTGATCATCTGTCCGAACGGTAAGTTGACTGAGTTTGCTATATAGTCCCTGCTCTATATAGTGATTGAGGGATTTAGGTGCTAGGGCAGACATTGGGCACAGTAATCTTGTATGAGCTATGAGAACAATAACCTTTAAACAGAGCATGCATGAGCCCATTTCTCACATGCATGTTTTGTGGAGATTTAAGTGGAGAGGGTGGGTCTTTTAAAAAATTCAAGAAAATCCTCCATTTGCAATACATTATCAAAATTTAACAATGCAATTTTCAAAATCAGAGTAAGACACAGACTTTCTAACTAACCCTGGTTACATGTCACAGACTCTGCATCAAACTGACCATATCAATGCATTTTTTTTGCAACATGTTTTTTTTCTCCCACAATGCTTACATTTGATCACTGCTGCACTTTAAGAAAATGGAAAGGTACAAATGTACAACGAAACTTCATTTTGCATGTACTCTGTGTATACAAAATAACAATAAATGTTTTCTAAGTCTAAGTTGCAGATATATGTGTAAGTTGCAGCTAGTGAGCAGATCCATGCATGACAGTAAAACTTAGAACTTTCCCACACCACAGTGGTGAGGTTCTGCTATAAAGGACTTCCGACAAGCAAGGTCATTAAAAACATTAAACCCTGAAGTGAAACATCTACATGTTTGTAGTTAGTCTAAAGAAAAATTAAATAAAAGCCAAAATATTGGTTAAAAACATTTCAAATTCGATTTTTCACTGAATCGCTCCGCACTAATGCTAACCACTTTTAAATAAGTTCAAAATATAATAACTTATAACTTAATTCTATCAAATATTACATCAGCGTGATGCTGAACAGAGTGGAGTCATGACGACCGCAGCAGAACGACATAATGAGCAGGTCTGGTCAAGTCACAGAGTCATGAAAGCATAACCTACATCCAGCCAACATGCAGCCAAAATCCCGCCTTAAAACCTTAAACCACAAGACAGAGCGGAGACCTTGTAAAATAAATGGAGAGAAAATCTCTTTTAAAACCAAACTAATACATTGCAAAAACAGATTAACCATCTGAAGTTTCCAAACTTCTTGAAACTCAACATTAAAAAATGTAATCAAATCAAAAATCTTTTAAATTTCCTCATTGTTAAATGTTTTAATTGAAGTTTATCTGCAGTGGAACTGAATCAGTTAATTATTGTGTTCATATAATCCATCAGTTTTCAGGAAGATCGGAATGAGAGTTTAACTTAAAAGTGATTCATCTTCTTTTAGGTTATCTTTATCTTTTCTTCTTTCAAGTTTTGACAAAAGAATTTTTTGTTGAAGTAAAATGTGCAAATCCCTTTTAAGGAGGAAAGACTGATGATTAAGGGATCACCTTTGAAAACTGCATTAGAGAGCAGAAATCCTACATGTCAAACTGAATCTGAGGCATCTATCTATCTATCTATCTATCTATCTATCTATCTATCTATCTATCTATCTATCTATCTATCTATCTATGTCTGTCTGTCTGTCTGTCTGTCCACAAAGACAGGAAACAGAAATATTTCTAGACAATGGTTCATATACTAGCTAGAATATTATCATAAGCTGCAAGTTTGTTACACCATTTAAACCAAGATAAGGTTTGAAACTACTCTTTAAAGGCTCCCAGCACTTAAACACAGTGATGGAGGGACAGACCGTGTCATCTGATGAAATCAGTGATGACACAAGTCTGAACTCGCCATGTTTAAGCTGGGGGAGTTCCAGCTTTTATTTAGTTTCTTCCAGTGACTAATTTTTTTTAAATCTGAAGCTCCTTCCTGTCCATAAACACCCCATGTTGTTTATGACAGCAGACTGTGATGCCTCAGGATATCTGCAAAAAATTATTTGAATACTTTGCTCTTTCATTAGTAAAATGGTTACATAAACATATCAAAACAAACTTAAGGGCTTTTCCCACACCAGATAAACATAGCAGCGCCATTAGATTAAGGAATTAAGAATAAGGGGTTCTGGTTTTCCTGTCTCTTTTTAGTTGATATCCTCAGGAAGTGGGAAAAATAAATGCATTAAAACAGACTTATAGTTCAGTTTACAAACTTAGCAACCTTTTTGTCAAATTCAAACCATTATTGCAAAACTTCATTTACAGACAAATTTGCTTTGTTTTTAAAGAGAGGCAATAGATTCTATGTTTTATTTTTATTTTGCTGTATTATCCTGGTCATAAAGATAATCAGAATCCATATTTTTCCTAACCGTTAATCACAGCAGCCTTTTTCCTTTCAGCATCTTTTTTCCACTTTTGCAAACTGAATAAGTCGCAACCATTTAAAAGAGTCCAAAAACAGTAACAGAGCATCTAATTTAAGTTATTTAAATCTTTAAACTGTTTCAGCACAAGGGTGCAAAGCTCAAGGAAAAATCTCTGTAGTAAGAGCAGCAGTCAGAAATATGTGCATAAAGTAAGAACATAACACAATAATATTAATCTGGCTGAAAATATTTTCTAAATATAACAATGAAATCCATCAGCTGTGTATTTTATTAAGCACTGGCCGGTTTGTATTAATCCAATTCAATTTAGGTTATTTATATAGCAGGAATTTAAAACACATGTCATCTCAAGGCACTTTACGGAGAAAGTCCTGTCAGATCATCCAGACCGATTGGTTTAAAGTTTGCTGTATGAGGAAATCTGGTGATTGCATTTCATTTCCAAGGACAGTAATGCCTATAAAACATGTTTTTATTTTAAGAAAGCTAATACATCAAAAGGAAGACACAAAAAGTACAGCAGATCCCTTGATAGAGACAGCTATGCATCAAAACTTCCAACCACAGAAACAGTTGTTTCAAGGTCAAAGTCTCAAACTGACACCTTTTCATTGGAAAAAAAATACATCTCAGTACATGTTAATTCAATCTTATTTCATACTGTTATTTATTTTAATATCTGCCATGGTGCTACTCCTCTACAAACGTTGCACTAATCATCTCTGCTTTCATAATGTTTCAAAACCACTTGCTTGTTTTTATTTGAAATTATTCTTGAATGTTTTTATGTCCACTGTACTTTTGCTTGTCTGTGTGTAGCACCTTAGCAACAAGACATATTACACATACTTTTAAAGTCCTAAGGACGCAGCTGTTCCAACGGTTGCAGTTCTGAATTTCATGTCTAAGAAAACCTAGACCAAAAACTGTTGCACTTGACTACACTTTAATTGATTAATTACACAAAATGGGCAGACAATCTAAGAAGCCTTTAAGTTCAACCAATGTAAAAATTTATTTTTGAATAAATAAGAAAGTATAGAACCACCTCATGACAAAAGATGCCTTTAAGAAAGGATTTATGACTAAACACAGATTAAGCTGTTTAGAAACAATGAGGAGTGTGAACTTTTAAGCATGGTGGTGGCAGCATGATGATGAGAGGAGGTTTTTTTTTTCCACTAGAAGCATTAATGCCTAGAGAGGTTTTAAATCTGATTGAAACTTGACCAAATATCAACAGAGGTTTGACAGTTTTTTCAAACACGCCTGGGTGCAGATAACTATTTTAAACTGTCTTTCCCTGACTCAGATCAAAAACTCTAAATTAGTTTTATCCCCATCTCCCCTCCCCTTCCTCCTCCCTGCTCCTACAATAACTGCTGCCATAAATCTGCAGGATTTTAACTGTCGAGGCTCAAAGTGGAAAGATCACAGGCTTAACTATATAATGAAAGAAGAGAAAAGTGGATCCCTGCCATAAAAATCCCATCGTACTTTTACTCTTTAGTCCAACTAGCAGCAATTACAGCAGATTCATGTCTTAACAACACAGAAACACCTGGAGAAAACAGTGGAATCTGATCTGAAGCATTAGAAACTAAAAAATAACTCTGTAGGCTTGCAGGGCCATGTTTTAATCTGTAAACACAAATCATACCTTAACAGCCTGATATCACTGGAGCACAAGCAAATCTGAAGTAAAATCCTTAGAATAAGAAAAGCACTTAAAGCCTAAAGTGATGCTGACGCCATAAATACTGACAATAAAGGCGTGTTTATTGCTTTAATCAAATCAGCATCATCTCCTCCTGGAGCATCTTCTCCAGTCAAACCAGCAGCTTTGTAGAGAACAGCTCCTCTCTGATGAGGCTGATGTTCCTGCCTCCATAAATCAGGATCTATCTGGCCTTAGAGGGAGCCACCAGCTGCTGAAGCAGCAGCAGCATCCACGCGGACACGTCTCCGCTCCAGACACGCGTGGAAAGATCATATCAGCGGCTCTCATCACTCAAACCCACCGCCTGCAGCAGCTTGTGCCGGACAGCCGCCTTCCCATGCAGCAGCTGCGGCTCGTCTTTCCTCTGCAGCCCCCTCCGGATGCGCTCCTTGTCGGCTTTGTTGAACCCCCCGGTCCGGTCGTCCCTCTTCTCCCGGCTCCTGCCGCCTGTATCCCCGCCGCTGGAGTCCAGGCTGCTGAAGTTCCACACGATGAGGGTCTGGATCAGCAGGACGGACACGGCGGCGAGCAGCAAGGCGGAGCGGGAGCGGCGGGCCAGCCTGCGGGCGCACGGGTTACCGTTCATCTCCCTCCGCTTCATTGAGAGACTGGGGGCCCCGTCTGCTAAACGCAGACAGCGGGGTGTGAATGCTCCCCTCCACGGCCTGAGGGGGGCTGCAGGAGGGCAGACAGGAGGGAGGAGGAGAAATGGGAGCGGGAGTTTGGCACCAGATCGGAATGAGGAGAGAGGATTGGAGGCGGCGAGGAGGACGCAGAGAGGAGGCCCCCATGTGGTCATTCAGGGGTCCACAGCCGGAGGAAACGTTTATTTCTTGTCTAAATGACGTCCTGGAGGGACCATTTTCAACCTGTTGGGGGCCAAAAAGGTTCCCATGAACCCATTCCAATATATGGTTATTAAACAAGGTCAAGTTTAGTTTATCTTTATTCCAAAAAAAGTAAAAAAAACAACAAAACAATAAAAAACAATCCACTGGACTTTGTTTACAAGTCTGAAGACATTTCGCTTTTTTAAATCTTACTTTTCAACATTTTGAATTGATAAAGCTTCCTAGATGGGAAGCAAAACGTCTTCAAACATAGAAACAAAGTCCAGTGGTTGTTTTTTTTTTTTTTTACTTTCTTTGCAATGACTATGACCTGGTTGACTAAGAATCTTTACCAGCAGTTTATCTTCATGTCTAAGAAAACCTAGACCAAAAACTGTTCCACTTGACTACACTTGAAATACTTGTTACACCAAATGGGCCGACAATCTAAGTAGCCTTTAAGTTCAACCAATGTAAAAAGTTATTTTTGAATAAATAAGAAAGTTCAGAACCACTTCATGACAAAAGATGCCTTTAAGAAACGATTTATGACTAAACACAGATTAAGCTGTTTAGAAACAATGAGGAGTGTGAACTTTAAAGCATGGTGGTGGCAGCATGATGATTAGAGGATGTTTTTTTCCACTAGAAGCATTAATGCATAGAGAGGATGGAAATCTGATTGAAACTTGACCAAATATCAACAGAGGTTTGACAGTTTTTTTAAACACACCTGGGTCCAGATAACTATTTAAAACTGTCTTTCCCTGACTCAGATCAAAAACTCTATTTCGCTGCTAAATTAGTTTTATCCCCATCTCCCTTCCTCTTCCTCCTCCCTGCTCCTACAATAACTGCTGCCATCAATCTGCAGGATTTTAACTGTCGAGGCTCAAAGTGGAAAGATCACAGGCTTAACTATATAATGAAAGAAGAGAAAAGTGGATCCCTGCCATAAAAATCCCACCTTACTTTTACTCTTTAGTCCAACTAGCAAACTGACCTTCCATCTAAAATCAAGGCAGCTGAAACAGTGGCAGCTCCGGGCCAATTTTACAGGGGTCAAGGTTAGGGTGGTGTTTCTTTTCACAAACACACAGAAGCTTTTCTCACGACCTTTTCCATTGACTTCCCTTCATTTCTACAGCCCAACTGAGACCCCTACCTTAAACCTCACCATTAGGGGTTAATACCTAACCCCAACCTAAGCTCAGCTCACACCTCGGTCCTAAACGTGACCCCTGACCCTAAAACAGCAACTCAAGAGGAGTTGGCATATGCCCCTCAAGGAACATTTGGTCCCCACACTCTGTTATTTTTCCAGAGAGTGTGAAGAACAAACACACTTATAAAACAGAGTAGGAGTGCATAATTTAGTAATTATTATGCCTATATTTTATATTTAGTATATTAATTGAGTCAGAAAACCAAGGTTGCATACTAACATAAAAAATGTGATCCTATACGGATACTACTGAAGCTTAAAGCTAACTGACACTTCTATATAATTGTTGAATTAAAGGTATAAAGGACGATCGTTTATTTCCGGGTGGATCATCTAAATAATAGGCCCTCCTAATTGTCAACCATTCTGGTGATATGTTTACGTAATGCCATTCTATGTCCCTTTAGCTATCTTTTTCTGCTCATGCACACTTTCAGGCGTACATCTGTGGTGAGATGCGGTTTTTGCCAGTCATTGAAGCTCACCTTTCTCACAGTGGCAGGCCCGGAGCTAGATGGGGGCCAGGGGTGGCCATGGCCACCCTTAGCCAATCATTGGCCACCCCTGTGGCCACCCTACCATATAATTGGTAACATTTATCCTCTCAAGTGGAATATTCAAAACATTTTAATTTTTCATATATTAACAATTACTTGACAACAAAAACACCGTGGTTAATTATGCACATCAATATACTAATATTAAAGATGATAAATACAGAATTCAAGCAGAAAAAGATTTTGTTTAATGGGATAAAGAGAAAATTTACTTTGGAGTCTTCAGTGAAATCATAGATAAATAACTATTTAAAAAATTATTAAATAATCAATTTATGTAGATATTTGTACTTGTAAATATCAATTTAATGCAGAATGATGGCAATGGAAAAGATGTTCGCCCAAAACTCAAACCTGAAAAAATGTTATCCACTACACCTTTTATCTAGAAAGCACAGATGTTTGAATATATTTGTCTATTTGTTAGCAAAGGCTGTGGAAAATTATAGTTTGTCTTTATTTAGAAAATATGGATGTTTTGCTCATTAATTTTCCTGTTGGAACATTGTAGATGTACTGACAGGTTTTGGTGCCTATCTACTTTCAGCCACCCCTCAGCGTACATTGGTAATTGCCTGGCCACCCTTATAAAAATTTTCTGGCTACGCCTCTGCAAAGCGGGTCCCTGAAAATGCTTGCGCACAAGAGAAAAAGTGTCTATGAAGTGTATGCGAAGAAAAAGGCCCCCGAAGAGGGAGATGTATGTCAAGTCAAGTCAAGTCAGCTTTTATTGTCATTTTCTTAAAGGAATAGTACACCCAAAACATGATTAGCCTTCATTTTCTACTCAGCCCCATGCTGAACAACACTCTGGAGTACTTTTTTGATATCTCAACTGCATCTGGAGATCTGGGAGGCTTCTTGCTGTCTGCTGACATTCAAATAATGGAGGTCTATGGCGCCCGAGGCAGAAAGGTCCATAAAAGTCCACAAAAAACGTGTCAATATTCCTCCATACTGCTCGTCCAATGTATTCCAAGTGTCCTGAGTGGGTAGCATCCAGAATTTACTCGAAACGAAGTCATTTAGAATGTTTTTAGAGCATAAACAGTAGTGTATAGGATTTCCTGAAAGCGCGCGCCTGCGAGCTCACGACACTACGGAAGTCGGCAGACCAAACCAGATGAAAGTGCGCATTCAGCGTCTGCTCTGCCGATAATGCAAGCATAGAAGAAGAAATGTGCTGTTTACCTGTGCAAAGAAAGAAACAACGAAAGAAAAATGTCTGAGGACTTCAGTGTTGAGGAAGAGCATGAGTTCTTTGCCGAGCTGAATGCGCACTTTCGTCCGGTTTGGTCTGCCACGGTTTCCGTAGCGTCATGAACGCACTTTCAGGAAATCCTATACACTACTGTTTATGCTCTAAAAACATTCTAAATGACTTTGTTTCGAGTAAATTATGGATGCTACCCACTCAGGACACTTGGAATACATTGGACGAGCAGTGTGGAGGAATATTGACACGTTTTTGTGGACTTTTATGGACCTTTCTGCCTCGGGCGCCATAGACCTCCATTATTTGAATGTCAGCAGACAGCAAGAAGCCTCCCAGATCTCCAGATAAATTTGAGATATCAAAAAAGTACTCCAGAGTGTTGTTCAGCATGGGGGTGAGTAGAAAATGAAGGCTAATCATGTTTTGGGTGTACTATTCCTTTAATATGTACAAGACATACAAGGGAAATGAAATTACGTTTTCTCTCTAGAAATATACAAGAAATATACAAGACTGACATTTACAGACTGACATAAACAGTGATAGACTGGTAAAATATGCTGGAATGCTTTGCGCAGAGAGCTCTGCTCACAAAGCATTATGGGACAAATCAGTTACAGTCTCTTCTGTCAGCGCATGTCTTCATAAGAAATTAGTTTAATATAACACTACAAAAAGTGAGAAGGAGAAATCAGTGTATTTGCACTTGATTTCATATGGTAATTATGCTTGACTTAAATTTAACTTGCCTGCCTAAACTAAAGGAAAAAAATACATATATTTCAAGAAAAAATGTCATACGTTACATTTTTGCAGCTTTCAGTACAAGGGGCATAACAGGGGCCAGGACCAGTTCTAAAGGGGCACAGGCCCTCGTTGGCCCTTGTCTAGAACCGGCCATGTTTAGTGCAGGTTGGGGGTGTTCTGGTCTTCTAGCAAAATAACCTCACGGTTGAAAGAAGGGAGCGAGGGGTCTCAGCGGTGCTGATAAATCAGGAATTTAAGTGGAAAACTGACCAGATGGCATAGTGCAAGTTGATCCAGCGAGGGAGAAGGAGGAGAGGAGCTGCCAGCCGGTCTTGATACCAGAGTTTCTATGGGGGATCTGCAGAGGATTTCTTGGAGTCCAAGAGTTGTGTGCTGGAGTGGAATCCGAGAATTCATCAGAGAATCCTTGGGAGCAAAAACACAGAAGTGAGTTTCTTAATAAAAAAACAAGAAGCTAATCAAATCTCAGAAGGCTTGACCTCACCATGGGAGTTAGCACTCATCAGAGCTCTTAGTTTTTTTTTTTTAGATTTTATTTGGCAAAAAAAAATGTAAGAGCGTATTATCACCACTAAATGATTTGCATTGTGGACTAGAAGGACTAAAAAAAAAATAATTTGAAATAAATGAGTGATTTAAAGAAAATCTATCACATTTTGAGATCTATTGGGTGATTAATTTCTCTTTAATAATTCAAATGAATTTAATCTTATTTTCAATTTGGAGAGATTCCTAAGCCAGAAAATAGTTTCTTATCCTCCACAATAATTATATTTCCCGTTTATTATATTTTCCTATTATTAATTAAGTCAAATCTAAGACATTAAAACGACTTAATCTTTTTCTTTCCTTTCAGCAGTCCTCATTTCTCCAACTCTTTAAAACCACCCGCCTTTTTTTCTTCTTCTCATTTATATTCCATAACCTTTGAGCATTGTGAATATTTATTAAATGTTTAATTGCTTTAGTTCAAGATTTTATTTATTTTCACACTACTTTGTGCATCATTGTACTATTTCCTTCTTTTCCCCTCTCCTTTTGTTTTTTAGAAGTTTGTTTGCTGAATCAATACCCATAATGGGATTCATCCCCCCCTCCAAGGCAAAAGAGTGGTAACTATGAAGTGGCTTAGGATCAGTCAATCAGACTAATCAGTAAATCAGACTGAACGATTGTTGCTACTCCTCCTCCTCACCTAGAATTCAAATAGCTGGAGTTGCCTCATTTACACTGATATAATA